GTACACATGGGGTATAAAAGATTTTCACAAATGCTGGTCGGGGTCCTTGGTTAAGAGGAGACTCTGCCTTGGGCCCGCCGGTGTAATAAACCGCACTCCACTATCTGCATTGTCCTTCTGAGTGAGTTTGCTTCCCGGAATGCGTGGCTATAACACCAACAGCCTCAATGCCAGCCATCCCCCCACCCCCTTGATCTTGCCTAACCCCCAACCCATAGTCTTGCCCACCCCCACCCCCCAATCTTGCCCACTCCAAGTTCCTGATCACTGGCCTCTGCCCCAGACTCTGGACGCTGACCTTGGCCTTCTCTCTTTTCCTGGTGAAGTGGGCACTGAGAGTTCCCACTCAAAGCTCTTCCTTGAGGAGAGCATACTTCTCCAGGGTCCTTCAGGGCAGCCCACCCTGGCCGGAAGCCCAGCTCTTTCTTAGCTCCCAGGGTCCTCCAGGCCAAGTGGGGTGGGTACAGGCATGTTGGCAACGTGAATCACCAACTCCTGCAGCTTCCCAGGTCCCTCAATAACCACATGCAGGGGAAGCAGTGCCCTTTGGCACACCATCTCTGCCTTGGTGTTCTCAGGGGCAAGTCAGACTGATCCTCTGGTGCCCCGAGTGTTCAGTCTCCTCCAGGGCCCAGAAATGAGCCAAGAACTGTTCCTGGAAAGAGACTGTGTGGGCTCCTGCTTTCTCCCAACAGGATTTCTCCACTCGAGGAGGAAAATGACAGAGGAAAAGGCTTCCAGCTGCTGTGGCTGGGTCACCTCTGCAGAGGAGACTGAAAACACAACAGACAATGGCCGGACTATATATGGAAGTAGAATCTGACCCACCCACGGCCTGCAGCGACCTGCCTGAAAACCAACCTCGTATTTACAGTGACCGGACAGGAACCCAGCCTGTCAGACTTTAGGTCAGACTTGCAGGAAGACTGGCGACTCTCTCTAGGATGATTTAGGATAACCCTTGTAATAATTGCCCCAATAAGTGACTGCTTCCTTAATTTTCATTCCCTCTTCCAACTTAGGGGACTTCCCTCATAGCTCAGTGGGTAAAGAATCTGCCTGCAGTGTAGGAGACCTGGATTCGATCCCCAGTTCAGGAAGATCCCCTGGAGAAGGAAGTGGCAACCAACTCCAGTATTTTTGCCTGGAGAATCCCATGGACAGAGGAGCCTGGTGGGCTGCAGTCCATGGGGTCATGAGAGTCAGGGACACAACAGAGCAACTTAACCATCACCTTCCAACTTAAGGCCAACCAGAGGAAGCCAAATCTGCTCCCCTAAGCAGTGACATAGGACGTCCCACTTCCGATCAGCCCACCCAAAGCGCCCCAGGCTGACAGCCTTCATTCAGGGCACGCCTGAAGTCTCCCCTTTTCAGCCCCATAAACTTCCCCACTCCTCTCTCTGCCTTTGAGCTTTGCGGGTCTAGTGGCTGTGGCTGACTCCCTTGCTGGAGCACTCCCTGCCTTGAGGACACACGCTGCTTGTTCTCATTTGCTGGTCTTTACTTGCGCAGAGGGCTGCTAGAACCAGCTAGGAGGAAAGTGGGGTTTCCGAAAGAGATGACGGAGGTGCTGCGGTCAGGAGATGCGTCTCTGTTCATCCACGGGGGCAGTGGACTAGAGCAGTGAGCTCACTAGAGCAGTGAGCTCCCGGGCAGAGGGAGCAGCCCAGCCCAGCTCTGACACCATCCTTTGGTCTCCCCAGGGGCCAAAGTCACCTGGTCAGGGTCGCCAGGCCCGGGCCTGTCCCCAAGAGAGTCTGTCCCACTTTGGCCCTGCAGCCGAATGTCCGTGTGAAGGAGAGGACTGTGCCCTTTAGTGGCTCTGATCAGCTTCGTGTCTTCCTCCCAACCACCCTCCAGAGAGACATTTTCTCAGACAGTTTCCCATCACTGACAGCCCTCGGGGCCTGGTCTGAGAGAGCCTGGGGGACCTAGGCCTGGGCAAAGGAGAATACCCCAGGGTCACAGCCCTCTTTCCTCCCCTGATCACCTTCAGAGGCAGGACAAAGGTAGGAGGTGACTGGATTCCCTTCGCCTGACCTGAGAGTGAAGGGTAGATCAGACAGGTTGGGTCAAGTTGTGCTGCAGTAACAACTCGAAAATGCCAGTAGTGGGACTTGCCTGGTGGTCCAGTGGTTAAGAATCCGCCTTACAATGCAGGGGACATGGGTTCGATCCCTAGTCGGAGAACTAGGATCCCACAAGTCTCAGAGCACCTGAGCCCATGCCCTTCAACCAGAGAGAAGCCTGCATTGCATGCTCCAACTAAAACCTGATGCAGTCATAAATTTAAAAAATTAAAAAAGAAAATGCCAGTAGTGTAAAACCACAGGTCTCTGCTCAGCCACTCCACATGCCTTGCTCTATGCTGTCCTTGGAAGTGAATCACCCACTCAACCCACAGTCCAGCATCAGAACCTGTTATGTGGTGCCTCCCAACTGCAGAGGGGACAGGGAAATTTGATTTTCCCACGTTATGGATGTGCAATAGAAAAGGTCTTGCAAAGAGGGCTTCACTCTGTTGGCCCAGCCTCCTGTACTCCATAAAAGTCTAATCCTGACCTCCTTTCTCTTTTTCACAGCAGTAAAATCCGTGGCGCACCAGCAAGATCCATTGTGTGTGCACCTAGTATATTTAGCCAGTCTCCTGTTGACGGACACCACAAGCAATAAAATGAATAACCTTGCGAGTGCCTTTGTTCACACATCAACAAGTTGAACTTTCTGTGATTCAGTTTCTCATCCATAAATAGGGATAAGCATACCTACTCAAGGGTGGTGAGAATTAAGGAAGATGATATATACTGAAGAATTTCGTATGATGCCTGGCATCCAAGGGACTCGATAAGCTTTAGTAATTATTACCATAATTTGCAAGGGCAGCTATAGAGGGCTGGGGGATGCAGGCCTCTTCAGTTTTGATACACACTCCCTGAACCCAAAGTCCCCCACTGGCAATATCTATTCCAGCCTCTAGTCAGCTTCCCCAGCCACCCCCCGAGGGCACTGCTCTCAGCTCTTCGGTGCTCCCAGGCCTCTCCGCGGGTGTTCAGGCTTTCAGTCCTGCTGCTGGACCACACCTCCTCTGACACCACGGATGGCCCCTAAATAGGGCCTCTGGGTGTGGGATGGGTACATGCAGGTATTTCTCTGCCAACCCATCACCCCTGAAGCAGGCAGGCAGGAAACCTTAATCGCCACACAGATGCCTCCCCCTTGGCCCTCAAGTGGCATCTCCTGGAAGTCTCAACCTATTATGAGTTCTCTCATAAGAAACAAGAGAAGTTGGGACTTCCCTGGTGGTCCAGTGGTTAAGAATCTACCTTCCAATACAGGAGATGCGGGTTCCATCCCTGGTCTGGGAACTAAGAACCCACAAGCTGCAGGGCGACTGAGCCCGCACACCACAACTTGAGAAAACCGTGCGCCAAGAGAAAGACCCAGCACAGCCAAGATTTTTTTTTTAATTTAATTAATTTAAAAAAATTACTTTAAAAAAGAAATGAGAGGTAGACTTCCTGAGAGGTCAGGATCTCCTCCTTTGAGCAGGAAGCTCTGATGCTGGGCAAGGCTTCCCAGAGAAGGGTCTTCTCCTCCAGGCTGCACCACAGGGGGCTCCCCATGACCCCTTCTCTCCAGCCATTCCCGAGAGTCCTGAGAGCCCCAAGCTATTTGCACCCCAATGCCTCCCCACTGTGGACAACCCAGAGCCAGCTCACCCAGGCTGGGCTGTTCTCTCTGCCTAGCTAACAAGCATGGGAGGAAAAGGCAGCAGGCAAGGCACGTGGATCACTGTGCTGCTCCCACACCCGGGAGGCACGGGGAAGCAAGGACAGCCCCACCTGAGCACAGGTGACTGACCCTCCCACTGCCCCAGTGGGGGCTGCTCTGAGCCACTCAGCTCCTCTCTACGCCCCTCCTCTTGGCCAAGGGCCCCTCAGCTCCTGCTGTCCTGCACAGGGGCCCTCTGGCAGATGGCTGGCTGAGACCAGAAAGCATGTTTAATTAAGTGAAGCTGTCTCTCTAGACTGTGTGGATGTCCAGAGCAGGGACCATAGTTAATTTCTCTTCCCGTTTTTTTTTTTCCTTTCCCCTCTTTGTTTCTGGAGTTCAGTAAACACAGACCAGCCCAAGGGCTTCAGGAAGACACCGATTATGTTTTGAAAGTGAAAGTGTTAGTCGCTCAGTTGTGTCCGACTCTGCGATCTCAGGGACTGTAGCTCACCATAGAATTCTCCAGGCAAGAATACTGGAGTGGGTTGCCACTCCCTCCTTCGGGGGATCATCCTGACCCAGGGATCAAACCTGGGTCTTCTGCACATGAGGCAGATTCTTTTCTGTTGAGCCACCAGGGAAGCCCGCTTGTGTTTTAGGATCCAAGCCTCCCAGCCAGCTGCCCCGGCCCGCTCCAAGCCTGAGTGAGAGAGGGTCAGGGAGGCCGCCTGCCCAGAAAACTCAAGACTCACTGCTTCTCTCTTGGAAGTTTTATTGGTCCTGGGGAAAGGGAAGCAGGCAGCCCCCTGCCTCGTGCAGAGAGTGCTGCAAGCCCTCACTGTTTCCCGTTGCCGTTGATGGGCCGGTTCACGTGCTCCGGGGAGGCCAGGAAGGCCTTGAGCTTGGGCCGGGAGTTGAGGCGGGCCACGTAGGCTGAGAGCAGGGGGAAGGAGTCCAGGCAACTGGGGGACAGGACCTGGTGAATCCGAAGCAGGTCCAGCAGGTTGTAGTCCGCAAAGGAGATCTGCAAGGCCGAGCGGGGTGGGATTCAGAGGGTGTGGGAGTTGGGGGGCAGGGCGCCCGAGGCAGTTCCCAGCTTCGCTGAACCCATGACCCCCGTGCTGTCTCTGCACGGGTGCGCCACATGGACAGAGTGGGGTGCGGAAGGGGCGGGGACGGGGCCGGCTCACCTGGTCGCCCACGATGAAGGCCTGGCCACCCTTGTTCTGGGACAGCAGGGTCTCGAAAGGCTTCAGGTGCTGGGGCAGTGCCTTCACATAGTCCTCCTTGCCCGCCTCCTGCCAGAAAGAGGCCACTGCGTATCATCCTCCTGGCCCTGGCCTGCTGCCCACCCGGTCCTAATCCCCCGCCCCCGGGGATGCTCCCTTCCGTCTGCTCCATCTCAGTGGATCCCACCCGCCCAGCCCCGCCCTCCTCTCCTCACTCCCCACCCCAGGCTATTGCCACATCCTCTCCATTTCAGAGACTGAGCCTTCTCTAGTCCACTCTTGTCACGATCACTCCCCAGGCTTGCAAAAGCCTCACAGGATCTTTCCAGATCGTACAGACACCACCCTGCTTAGACTCCCCAAAGAGCATCTCCAAGCCAGCTGGCCGAGGCCTTCAGGAGCGGGCCTGCTGTTCCTCCAGCTCCATCCATCTCCTGACACTCCTTCGCACACACACAGAGGCACACCCTGCCTCTCTGAAACTGCTCCCAAGTCCCCAGATGTACCCTGTGCCTGCACACTTTGTGCATCTGAAAGTACCAGCATCCCTTCCAGAAGCTCCTCCTTCTGCACCTGCTCCAGGAAGCCCTCCTGACCTCCCCGGGCTGAGGATCAAGGAACCACCTCTGGCTGGTTGTCTCCTGTCCTAGCACCATTCTGCCATGGCCTGCTACCTGACCGGGTCCCTCCTCCAGGCAGGGAGGCAGTGGGGTATGTCCAGTCTATAATGGCTCTTGATTCCCACCACCCCCTCCCCAGAACCAGAGGCAGCCCCGGGGTTGGGGGGGGGACCACAGACACAAGAGGGGGCGGTATAGGGCGAGAAGGAAACCAGCCCCTTTCTTTCTTTGTCCTCCGTGTCCACCCTCGTGCCCACGCTTACGTAGTTGGTGTAAATGAGGGAGACGTATTTGCAGCGAAGGTCCTCCACGCCATCATTCACCATGTCCACCAGGGCCGCCTCCTGCTGGTCCTTCCCATACAGCCCTGGGGTGGCGGGAGAGCAGAGGGCGTGAGTGGGAGCCTGAAAGCCACGGCAACCTGACCCCCCCGCAGCCAGGCCACGTGGCTGCCAGTGTGCCTGGGCCAGGCAGGAGGGAGCAGGATTCGCAGGAAGAAAGGGGCTGAGTCTGCGCTCAGAATTCAGGGGCAGGTGGCCCCGCTATAGGGCAGGGATCTTCCCAACCCAGGGACAGAATCCAGGTCTCCTGCATTGCAGGTGGATTCTTTACCAGCTGAGCCACAAGGNGGTGGGTTCTTTACCAGCTGAGCCACAAGGGAAGCCCAAGAATACTGGAGTGGGTAGCCTATCCCTTCTCCAGCAGATCTTCCCGACCCAGGAATCAAACCGGGGTCTCCTGTGTTGCAGGTGGATTCTTTACCAACTGAGCTACCAGGGAAGCCCTAGATAACCTCCACACGCCTCCATCCCAAGGGTAGCTGAGCGATTTGATTGACATGGAGGAGGCTCAGGAGGTGCTCAGGAAGGCTGGCTGATGCTGCCGCCCCCAGCCTGGGCTGAGCCACCTGCAGTGCTGGGACTCACCGAGGGTGCGGCCCAGGTGTCGCAGGATGGCATTGGACTGGTACAGCGTGAGGTCTCCGTCCTGGAACTTGGGGAGCTGCCCGTACAGCTGGGGGGACGCACAGCTCTGTCAGAGGTGCTGGGCTCGGCTGCCCCTCGCCCTAGTGTTGAGCCCCACTCGCCCCCACAAGGTCAGGCCCCTGAGCCGGGGACGGGACAGAAGTACTCACGCAGGAGGCCTTGAGGGGGCCCTGCAGCCAGGTCTGCATGGCCACCACCTCCTCCTTCCAGCTCTGGTCCTGGTCGGCCAGCAGCATGCGCATGGCCTCGCAGCGCCCTGGGGGAGGGGAGGACGGGGCCGTGAGGGTGGGCAGTGCCCTGGGCAGGGGCCAAGGGGCTGGGGGCTGCTTGGAAGACCTCACAGCACACGGTGGAAGGGCCGGCCAGGGCCGCGAGGCTTGAGGTACGCTAGCCCGGGCAGCTCCAGGGCCCAGGAAGGAGGCTCGAGTTAGTAGCCACGTGATGCCAGGGGAGAAAGCGGGGGTGTGGCCTGCAGCCCCCAGGCTCTGGCTCCCCTCCCACCCGCACCCTGCCGTCCCAGGCCCCTACCTTGAACCGGGAAGTAGACAATGGTGTAGGGCGGCACTGCGAGATGCACAAAGAAGCCAGTTAGCGGCGGGAGAGGCCTGTTCCGGGGGAGACGACCCGGCCCGTCCTCCCCGGGGTCCCATCCCCGGCCCTGGGCGCTCCAGCCCGGCCCCTCGAGAGCCCGAACTGCCCCACCAAACACCCTGGGCGCCCCCCTCGGAATCCCTGGGAGCCCCAGGCAGCGGGGAACTCACTCCTGGCGACGGGGAAGTCTGCAAAGGCGGCGGTGGCGGTGGCGGCGGCGGCGGCGGCAAAACTCCAGCGCGCTCGGCAGCGGCCTGAGCCTTAAAGGGGTGGGCGCAGGAGCCGCGGCGCAGTTGCCCCCCGCCCCACCGCTTAATCTCCGTCCCCTGGGGGCCCGCAGCCTGCCCGGGACCGACTGCCGAACGTCCGCCAGGCATTGATGGGCGAGGGCTTCCAGAGCCCGGAGGGTCCGCGCGGTCCGACCCCTAGTGGGGTTGCAGACCCCAGACACGCAAACCCCTGCGTGTGGACACTTGTTCAGCAGACAAAAGGCAGATGCTGCACACAAAGACGGAGACACACCCCTGTGCACCGACGCCCGCACACCCAGCTCACACCCTAGGTTGTCTTTTCAGACTCAGGGACCGTTTGGAGGCCACCTTGGGGTTCTTGTATGACTCATGTGCCCTGCTGCCCCTTCCTTACCATTTTTCTCTAAATTAATTAATTTAAAAATTAATTGGGCTTCCCCGGTGGTGCTAGTGGTAAAGAACCTGCCTGCCAGTGCAGGAGACCCTGGTTCGATCCCTGGGTCGGGAAGATCCCCTGGAGAAGGTCATGGCAATCCACCCTAGTATTCTTGCCTGGAGAGTCCCATGGACAGAGGAGCCTGGGGGGCTACCGTCCACGGGGTCACAGAGTTGGAGAAGAGTGAGGCGACTGAGCACACACAAAAATTAATTAATTCTCACTTCAGCTCAGACATGCCTGCAGAGGGAACCTGTCTTACTCCCCCAAGTGGAAGCAAACACCACTTGTGACACGCGCCTCACCATAGAAACGCGACCTGAGAAGAGCATGGTTTTTTAAACCCCAGACAATGGGACACTGTGTGTGTGTGTTAGTTGCTCAGTCCTGTCCGACTCCTTGTGACCTCATGGACTGTGGCCCACCAGGCTCTGTGGTGCATTAAATTCTCCAGGCAAAAATCCTGGAGTGGATTGCTATTTCCTTCTCCAGGAGATCTTCCCGACCTAGAGATCAAACTCAGGTCTCCTGCACTGGAGGCACATTCTTTAGAGTCTGATCTTCCCTTTTCAAACGTGCCACTAGCAGCAAAGTTAGCAGTTTCTGGCACAATAACACCCAGCTGATCAGCATCCTTCAGTTCCATCACGATTGAGAGCGATTTTAAAGGATTCCAGGACAAGCATCCAAGCTATTTAACCCCAACTGTCCACCTGGGAGCCCCTTTCCGGGTTGTTCAGGCCCTACTCTGAGTCTTCCTGATGGCAGTGATGGAGAAAGCTTCAGAGAGGGGTGTCCAGGTGGTGTTTCATAAGGACCCCTCCCCTAGAGCTGGCTGAGCTGGCTGAGACTCTAGAGGAGCCAGGCCCCAGGCAGGACGCCTTGGGTTGGGCCCTGGGCAAGTTCTCCAAGCACATCCAAGTGGAAGCTTCTGGACTTGCTGACTGTGTGGGGAAGGAAGCCTTAATGGGAGACAGAGAGGGGTACCCGGGAGGAGAGGCAGCCACTGGGAGGACATCCAGCATCCTGCTGGACCTGGTGAGTCCAGGTGTTTGTGGGATTGGGGTGGCGGTGGGGGCAGAGGCAGAAAGAAAACCCAGACAGGAGTCAAGAGAACCACATTCCTGCCTAAAGACCAGTGCAGCTCTCCTGACCCCCCTGACATCTCCTGCACCCCTACCTACCCCACCCCAGCAGGGATTTTTCAGGGGCCATGCAGAGCTTGAACAATACCGTCAATATGTAACTTTCTAAGTGCGTAATGAAACAATCATTTCCTTATACATCACCACTGGCCCAGGCCGAGGTGGTACAGGCAAGGACAGGCACTGCTGTGAGGCAGTCAGTTCTGGCCCCCGGCAAGGCTGGGCAAAGTCATCAGCACAGGCCTTGGGCCTTAGCACCGCTCCAGGTTCCCACCCCCCAGGGGCTAGCACTTAGGGTCTCTGCTCCTCCCCCACTCACAACCCTCTTCCCTCAGGTCCTACCAACACCGTCTTCATCCCTTAAGGCACAAAACTCTCTTTTTCTTCCAGAAGAGCTCCCTTTGCTTATTTGACCTGAGCTAAGAGTCACCTGAAATTTGCCTCCCCCAGTTTTTAACATTGGGTATTCAGTGAACTACAAAGAGCAAAGAAAAAAATTAAGAAACAGTTGCAATTTTATATCAAAAACAACCCGCCTATACAGTTCCCTTCCTGCTACATTCTCCCTTGGCAGCACATTCCACAGCCCTGATGAGGACCAGGCGCCCCCCACCTGCAAAGACACATCCGCACCCGCACAGCCCTTTGACACACATCACACACACGCAAACACACCTGCATATCCCACGCAACATGATCGGGACTAGGATCTCACCAGGCCCCGCAGGGGCCCCCTCGTCTGGGCTCTCCAGGGCCTGAGAGGGACAGCCAGGCCTCAGGTCTTCGTGTACAGGCAGGGTCCTTTCTGCTGCTCACTCGCTCAGTCATGGCCGACTCTCTGCGATCCCGTGGACTGCCACACGCCAGGCTTCCCTGTCCTTTACCAGCTCCCAGAGCTTGCTCGAACTCACGTCCATCGAGTCGGTGATGCCATCCAACCATCTCATCCTCTGTTGTCCTCTTCCCCTCCTAGGTCTGGGCAATTGAAGTGGGGGGTTGAGGTGGATGAGGTTGGGGGGTGACCCTGACTGGTGTTCCCCGCCCCCACCCGTCCTGCTGTGGCCCCAGCCCCAGACCTCTGTCCCTTTCCCACGGTTCTGAGTAGACTTAACTCAACCTCGCTGATTGCCCTGGGGTATACAGGAGCATTTGTCTACCCCTGCCCGCCTTCCCTGTGCCATGTGGGCCTTAAGAGATCTCCAGGGTGCGTTTTATTTTTTCAGGCAGGGCTTTATTGGGGCCTCTACCCGGGTTCCATCCCTGGGTCAGGAAGGTCCCCTGGAGGAGAAAATGGCAACCCACTCCATTGTTCCTGCCTGGAGAATTCCATGGACAGAGGAACCTGGTGGGCTACAGTCCGCGGGGTCCCAAAGAGTCTGGCACGACTGAGCGACTAATGCCTTCACTTTTACTTTCTGGTAACGGCAAGGGAGATGGGAAACAGAGCAGACAACAGCTCCCCTTGCTCTCCCTTGCCCTTGCGTGTTGTGGGGGGCAGTGGTGGTGAGCTTGTTCTTATGTTGAGTGAGGGTAGGGCTGTGGCCAGGGGTCAGGCCGGAGGGCTGGCTTAGGTGTTTTGTCCACTCCTCTGTTGGTTCCTGGGTTCACTTCAGCTTGTAGCGCCCCCCCTCCTCCCACGGCGCAGTCGCAGGGCCATCCTGCTGGAGGTCCGCCTGCTGGACCTCAAGGGTGTGTGTGGTGTGTGTGTGGCACGCATGCTCCTCAGATTCTGGCCCGCTGTCCTTGCTCCGGCTCCACCCTCCCGCTTTGTGTGCATTTAGTCAGTTCCGTGTTCCCTTTATCCCCACATTCCATTCTGCTGCCTCCCAGGTGTGTGAACTCTCGATTTACATAAGTAGCGCCAGGCTGCCGTCCCAAATGGCTGCTCCAGCCCGCCCCAAACCCCAGCTACTCTTCAGATTCATTCCTACCCTTCAGACTCATTCCAGACCCATGTACCCCCAACACGCAGCATCAGCGGCTTTGGCATGTTTGCCAGTCCCAAAGGTATAAAGTTGTTCTGAATGGCATCCCTCTTTACTAAGGATCTGCATCATCTCTTCCCATGCACCTTGAATTTTGCTTTCCTCTTCTGTTTTGCCCTTCATATCTTGGCCATTTTCTATTTGATTTGCTGCCTATTTCTTGTTGATTTGCAGGAGTTTATTCTAGATATCCGGCTTCCTTGGTGGCTCAGACAGTAAAGAATCTGCCTGCAATGATGGAGGCGTTGGGTTCCCATCTGGGTTAGGAAGACCCCCTGGAGAAGGGAATGGCTACCCACTCCAGTATTCTCCTTGCTTAGAGAATCCTATGGACAGAGGAGCCTGGAGGGGGACAGTCCTTGAGGTCACAGACGTTTCAAGCATTACAAGAACCTCTGTTCAGTCTGTCTCTTCCGTTTGTTCAAGATGTCTCTCGTTAAACAGTGTAATCAAATTCATAGAGGTGTTTTGCTAAACAATGTAATCAAATTCATCAGGAGGCTTTTCTCTGGGGGAGTGGATTGCTTGTGTTTTGTCCTTTTGAAACTTTGTTTAAAAATCCTTTTATTTATGAATGTTTTTATTTTGTTCTGTGTCCTTTTTAGCTGTGCTGTGGGGCATGAGGGATCTTACTTCCCCAACAAGAGATGTAAACTGTGCCCTTTGCATTTGAAACATGGAGTCCTAACCACTGAACCACCGGGGAAGTCCTGTTACTATTTGTTTTAATGACAGGAGAGAATACATAGAACATTATACTTGCGTAACTTCTAAGAGGCAATGTTTTCTAGTTAGGTCACGCAGCTTGGGGATTAATAATGAAACAAAAACAACTTTTAATATGCTCTTATGTTTTCTTTTGTTAACTTTGTCAAGCCACTTTCACATTTACACCATCGATCCATCAAGAGGCCACTTTGCCTGTACTGTCAGGCAGGAATTCACCTCGCCAGCACCATCTACTGAACAACGTACTGACTCACATATTGAGCTCCTAAATAGGTCTCGGGTCTGCTCATCAGTTCTGTATCCTCTTCTGTGTCTGTTCCTTGGCCAGTGCCATAATTTTTCAAAAAATATTTATTTAGTTAATTTACTTATTTGGCTGTGCCAGGTCCTAGTTGAAGCACGTGGGATCTTTTAGTTGCAGCTTGTGGCACGCAAACATGTGGGAGCAACCCGGGATCGAACCCAGGCCCCCTGAATTGAGAGCAAGGAGTCTTAGCCGCTGGACCACCAGGGGAGTCCCCGCAATTTCTTTTTTATTATTACTGTAGCCTTACAGGCCTTCCTTAGTGGCTCAGAGAGTACAGAGTCTGCAATGCAAGAGTCCTGGGTTCGATCCCTGGGTTGGGAAGATCCCCTGGAGGAGGGAATGGCTACCCACTCCAGGATTCTTGCTTTGAGAATCCTATGGACAGAGG